AGCTGAAGAGAGATTCGTATCGTCTTAACATCAAGAATGCGTTGCGTGAAAGAAAATAAGAAGACGGAACCCATGTTTTCTGAAATAACCGAGGTAAACTCAAATATTTTTTCAATTAAATTCAAAACATATTTATTATATATTATTACAAAACAGTAATGATGTTTATCATTTTATGTTAAATATGAAAGATTACAAGATAGATACCTAAATATTGATTATTTGTTGTTACAAAATGAAATAACAAATAATAGAACATATTATTGCATTAAATGTTATTAATAATAGTTGTGACACTTTATTTGCCCTTAATCTTGAGCGTTTTTCATAAATTGACCCTGCCTTCTTTAGAAAATATCCGCTCAACATCTGGCTTAACAAATGTTTCCGATGAAAATCACTAAACAAGTAGGTAATAATATTTTACCGAATCGTGCAATACAATACAAATGGACATCATCAGTACGGAAAGTAAGACATCATCGGTCCGGGATTGTATCGATACGATTTAATTTAATTTAATCTTTTCTTTATACAAATTTGCGCCCACAATCAATCAGACGATTTAAAATAGGTCCAACAGTTTTTTCAAAAACTTTATTGTAGTGGATCTTAGGCACAATTTTGTTGCACATCAATTGTTAGTTCTTAAAACAATATTTAACAGTGCACGGCAATGTGCAATCTCATTTGCAATGGTAAATACCCAGTCGTTTGAAGATGATTTTCAAAAGTTTCTAATACATTTTTCTGCAAATTGATGGACGATCCGCATTTTTTTGCCCTTAAACTGCTTTAGTGTGTATAATTGTGTGTGTACTTTAATTGGAAATTTAAAAGATGGCGAAACTCGAACAGACATGTAGTACATGAGCACCCTTAACCCAGTATTTGCACTATCTGCAGCTTCTCTCTTGATAATTTGCTGATTCATTGTTATCAGGGTTATAAAATAAACTGCACCGAACACACTAATATCACACTCAATAAGAGATAAATCAAAATCACTGACAGTTTAATAACACAATGTGTATTTGAAAAGTTTATCAGATCTACAGATGCACCCGCACTAAGAGAAAAATGTCGAATTCAAAGTGCATATGTGCTGTTGTAGGAGTTGTTGGAAGAAAAAGTGACACAACATTTTCCCAGCAACGGAACTGAGTTACTGCGCCGGTGCGTTGGGTTGGCGCACCCCTAAAAATTAACTGAGTTACCCAGGCCTACTACTTGGGGAAAAAATGATTTATTCGAAAATGTATAGATGGTGCGCTAATTGTGTCCGTCAGTGTATCTAACTTTAGCAAGCAAATAAAGTTTTGAAAACAGTTTTACAACAGAGCAAAGTTTTAAAGACCCTTAACAAAGCAGCGGTTTTTTGAATAAACTTTTCCTGTCATACAATGATGTTTTTAAATTCAGTTTTTTTTTTGTAAATTTCATTGTTAGATTTGAAAACCACTCAAACCTCATCAATCATTCCAAGGCGGAAAAACATTGGCAAATTTTCCGATAATGATGCGAAATTATGCGCGCAATTTTGTTGATGATATGGAATTTCGCTGTTCGGATTAGCATTGCATGTGAATTGCTCACCAGAGCAGCGCATTATTTCATAAAATGTGAATGATAAAAAGCATAATAACGTCGGTCCGATTACAGTCCGAGATGCGCTATTTTGAAGACAATCTCCTCTAATATCAGCGCATTTAGTTCAATTGCAATACTAGTAAGAAAACACACAATAGATAATCAACCACAATGGATATGGTGAAGCATGCGCATCGTTCGAGAACATTTTAAACGATCCATATGCTTTTATCCATACAAAACGCAACAAAAAGCAAGAATGTCCGAACAAGGTATTTATAATCGGATATACACACTCGATGCCACAAATCCGGTTTGATTTTCATGGGATGTAAACGTGTGTTTGTTTATTTAGTTTTACTTGTAATAAACAGGAATTTGGGTTGATTGAGGCAGAATGCATTCAACGGAGGTTCAGGTGAGTGAAACGCCGTTTTGCACTTGCAGCTATCAACATCTATTCGAACTGTTCACTGTAATCTGGATCATCGATTGCACCTGAATTAATTGCTAGTATTAGAAGGTTTATAGGTTGAGTGGCACTCTGAGTACGTAGCATTTAAGTAAAAAATATACGTGTTAATTTAGTTGCGCATATACAGGGCGTAGGGAAAAAATCGCAAAAAATCTGCAATGCTTTTCTTCACCGTTTGCGGACAAAATGAGTTGATATTTCGCCTGCAAAATGTTCTTCAAATACTCTTTCTCGACAGTGGCCCATTTTTGAGAAATGCCACAACTACCTTTTTATGTAGATAAGTTCTATATTGTTGAGGCGGATTTCTTTTTTTAAAAACCTCTTTTTGGGTATTTTGCCGCAAAAATTTTTGTCTTTAAAAAAGACAGAATTTCCTTACGTCTTTTATTCCAGATTGATAAATAGTGCTCCTATTTCGCAATAAGAACGAATTATTTATCAAAAAGTAATCAAGAACTATCACCTAGAGGGTATCCTGCGACACA